ATGTCAGTACAGTGGAAATTCCAGTAGGGTTGAAGGGAAGAACTTATCAGGTGCCTCAAACCGAGGGCCTGCTCGACTTTGTACAGCAAGTGACAGTATTGTGGAACGAATTGCTGAGGGGAGAGGAAGTATTTATAGGCTTCTCAGCTCCTGTCGCGTACGTGCTCTGCTAGGTGGCAAACGTTGAAGGACACGATGTCTATCCTAAGTGAGATCTGTTGCAATTCATGCCTTCGTTCTACCGCAGCTATTTGCAGCGGAATTTTGGTGTCATTTTAGATGCCCAACGAGAAAAATATGCTAGAGTCATGTTGAAAATGAGTCAAAGTGAGTCGGTTAAGAAACGTTGGCTCACTGTTGAATTTACGGTCTTGATACTGAGGCAATGGAAGCTGTGTGTAGTTCTGCCCGTCTAGGCTACGGAAAGCGTCAGGCCGCGGTCGCGCGGGCGCGGGTACTCAACCCGTCAACCCGTTGAAGCTTGGCCTTCCTTGTTGACGGGAGTCAACTTTTGAACTCGTGATCATGGTTGAGATAGATACCTTGTTTTTTTCGATTTTCTTTTTCGGTCCTCTAGATTGTACTCTATTTACTTTTGGGATTTCTGAGCTCTCAACCGAATGTGGAAAATGCGTTGTGATTGAATATATATCTCCTGGACCGTTCATCACCAGTTAGCCAATAATATGAGGCACATTCACCAACCATCAACACCACGAGATTCACACCAGCACCATCATTGAACGGACTGCTAACAGAGCCCCGAAAAATCTTTGGGTTCTAGGCAAAGTCAGACTGTGTTGATTGACTTTCATGGTGAAAGTGAGAATGAGTAACCACCTACGTCTGTTAGTCTATAAAATCCTCCAAGAGTTGTTGGGCATGCTATTGCCCAGACACTCGACTTTTCCCTACGATCAAGATGGATGCCCCTAACAGCACGCCAGACCAGGAAGCAGAAGGAAAACAACAGTCTAGTGCGTTGCCAATCGTTTGTGAAAAAGACAATTCGCAGGAAACTTCCGATGATGCACCAATGGTAAGTGGAAAGACTCAGCTTCGAATGCTCTTGCTGACCATTACAGCCCTCTACATCGGAACAGGAAGCAGAAACAAGACATTCCTTGGCGACTGAGCCCTCTCAACCTATTCTGAAGGTGCTAGCAGACCTCGAACGCAACGATCCCAAGTCCGCCTTTCCCGCGGCTCGTCTTGTCGGACTCTACCGACGCCTATGGGAGTCAAGCGTGTCCAAGAACATCGATGGCCAGAAGCTAGAGCGGAGCAATCAGATCTTGAAGGAGGCTAGCACACACCTGACTAAAGAGAGGGACGGACTTCAGCTTCGCCACGACAAGCAGCTGTCTCGGCTGCGCTTTTTCAAACAGGCACTGAAATCATCTCGGGATCGACTGACTAGGGTACTCGATGACTGGAATCACCCTTCTAGACTCAACGCCACAACGGCGAGAGTTCCTCGGCGTGGGATGAATGTTGATCATTGCTAGGCACCTGTTTGTTTGCTAGGCACCTATTTGTTTGCTAGGGTACTAATACGGTCTTGTGATGTGTGTGAATTCCTTTCTTTTTTTTCACATCATAGCAGCGTCCATATCAATCTAATGCAATGCCTCGACTTAGGCCAGACATATATTTATATAGTCTATTGCATAGCGACCCTGGTGGCAACATGACAATTGGTCCTGCAAGCAGCCAGCATTCAATTACTGGCAATAGAGGTTCACCTTCTAGAATATACTCAAAAGCGCGGATTTAATCTGGCGGTGGAGGAGGGCAGCATCTTAGATCATAAGTATTGCCAAAGATCAAAAACCCCATAAGGAGAGGCGAGAGTAACACTGAAGGCGAGGTTTTGAAGGTAACATGAGCTTGAGTCAAGGTTGGCCATGAAGTAGTTATACGTAGTTATACTCGTCAAGCGATTTCCCTGTGGCCTGAAAGGTGAGACAGAATAATATCCCCTGTATCGCTAGAAGACTCAATCTGGCAGGTCTGCCAGACATGGCAAGAGAAGGGTGAAGGATTGTATATTCTTGGTTGTCTTACTTTTACAACTTGGAAAATATACAATGATGTCGCAATTGAAAGAGAATTACCGCATGTAAAGAAGCTTATATCTTTCCCAGTGATTACAGTAAGAAGGGCACAGAATATCCTTTGTGGAATGTGTTTGCGAATGATCTCCCGCATGTTCTGGGACAATCTCAGTTGTAAGTCATGGTAAGTGCGGGGTGAACTTGAATCGCAACTGAGGTTTGACTGAAGACGTATGTGCACCAAGCCTTATGCTATCCTTGTTTCGAGTGCTCTCGCAGGTCACCAGACAAGGCGAGAATAGATTGTCAGGGATATACATGAAGCATACAGATGAATGAAGATATGATCTGTGGGACCCTCATTGAGATCCACCCAAGAGCTGCTGTATCGCTTGACCCGTATTCAACGAAAGCTTCTAAATTCGTACTTCACAGGGGAGATCTCGTTTATTGCGTGCATTTGTTTGCATTTATTCAGTGTCCCCAGTGTTTCAATGCCGTACTATTCATCACACTGAACTCTAGCCGGTATCCTCTCGTGATTATTTCGCGTGACACTAGTACTTTATCAGGTCCTAAGTGTTTCATAGCGGCCCAGAAACGTCTTTCCAAATCCTCATATCTATCCGAAAGGTCTTGCAATATCGGATCATCTCTCAAACCGCGCCTCCAAGAAATCTCTTCCAGTAAAGGCTCACCCAGACTGGTGAAGTGTTCCAAAACATGCTTTCCCACCCTTATACCAACAATATCATCGAGTCTTGATGAAGTCCGATTGCTTCCATGTCGAACGCAATCACAGAGACTTTCACCATATTTATCGACACCAACTGCGCATAGACAATCAAAGAACGTCATCAGGCAGTAGAACGTAACGAAACGTTGTAGTAAAACAGATTCAGAATCACCGAGAGTTTCGAGATGGGCTTTGTGTTTATAAAGATCGCGGACCGCGCGAGCGACGCAGCTCAAGCATCGCTCCTTGGTGTCTTCACCGAGCTTGCATGGTACACTAATTGAGCGGTCAGTAATCCTTCGAAGTTGACTGTCTTTACCTACCAGCATATAAAATTGACAAAAGTGCTGAGCGCATGGAACAGATTCAAAAGTACAGGAGTCAATTGGCCCGAGTTGTACCCATTGACAGAAACATTTTTGAGGTCTGACACGTTCATATCAGGTGTGATTGAATTGACGAAAGTTTGGCAGACTTCGAGGCAGACCAAATAAAATGGGGTAAGCAGCGAAACATCTTCGCGCCGAGAAAGCAGTAACGTGTCATGCAGTGCGAGAACACCATCCTCAAGAGAGGCAGTATCAATCACCTCATTAGAGCCTAAACATTTCGCAATTTCCAGAATCCGACTCGTTGATTTGAACAACTTGTCTCGGTAGGTAGGCTGTGGCGCAGGGTCCATTCGGTGCGTAATGACGAAGTCGACCTGTCTTACTTCACTAAGAACGGTTCCACATAAAAAAGGAAACTAAAGGAAGAGTTTGCCGTTGGACTGCACGGCGATTCGTAATGTTGTCTAGCGATAAGTTTTGGAATAGCTAGGGGTAGCGAGAGATGTCCCAACGAGCTGTTCACCGCCTTCGGATGCTAGGGTCTGAGTGGCTCCTCGCTTGATTTGACTCTGGAATCCGGAACCTCGAAACCAATTCTAGGGGCTTTGTATCCCCTGGGAACTCTAACATAGCTCCTGAGGCCTTTCATATTCCTGTAGAACTGAAATTTATCAGTTCCTAAGTAAATGCGCGATGGCTCTGGGAACGCATCGGCTGGAACTGCGAGCTGTTGCACTCCTGCGATCTTGCCTTTGCTGCTCCTGGAAGCTTCTTATACGCTCTTATAAACCAGACCGTACCAAAGCCGTCTGGAGCAAGAGAGTCTCCTGCTCTTTGTGCGGCTGGTTCCCCACATCTTCCAATCGCATGACCAGTGAGACATTATGGACGATTCACTGTTTTGAGGGGAACTATCAAAGACCTCTGGATAGCAAGTGAACAAATCCTGTGGCCTAAAGTACCGAGATAAACAAGTCGTAGGACTACAATGACAGCCAGTCCGCGTTTTTTAATGAACTTGCGCCGTCACGCGGTGGGGAAGAATGGTAAGTCCGAGAGTCTCACCACCACATGGTGCATATTTCAGCGAGAGTAATACCCGAGCCTCCGACTCTTGGAAGGAGATACAATGGTCACGGATTCGCACGAGCCCCATGTCATGCTCCACTGAGGCCACTACGAGAAGGTGGCTCTTTACAGACGCGACCCTGAGAACCTGTGTCCTTCCCATTTGCAGGCCCCCCGCCGTCTTTCTACCTGCCAAGGCATTTGCTGTTAATAAGCCCAAGAAATCCCAGGAAAAGCTCGATTGCTCATTATCTTGCATATCATTTCTCTCCGTTTGGGTGACCTACATCGGCCAATGGTAAGATAAAAGGGGCTGCATAGTGAAAAATAGAGGATGGAGAGCAGATGGAGAGCTACGACAGATCAATAATCATTATCTTCAAATTAGTTGGCCATCTTCCTTTTGCTCATTCACTATTTTTGGTCGCCGATTCAATCCCGAACTTTGCGAGTGTTCACCACACCTTAACTTTTTTCTTAAAAGAAAGGGAAAATAAAGCAGTTTCATCGGACGGATGATAGGTTTCCCCACGCTTCATTTTCTGCTTTCTTTTGCAACAGCGGTCCGATCTCAGTTACTACGAAATCCCATCTTGAGTCCGTCAACACCTTGGAATTAATTTCCCCTATTATTTTGCCGACTGGCAGAGGCGTGTCGCGCACCTGGGCCTGCTGTAATTAACGAGAAGACCGTGTGCAGTTAGCTGACCTAGGATGAGACAATTTAACGAAGACCTCGCCGCAAAACAGCACCCGACGTGTAAGAACTTAGTAGAGGACAGATCTCGATTGAATGCGGTGTTTATTTCACTTTGCATGGATGCTATTTCTTTGGGCAATACGGCGGTCTTTGCCCGTACACAATATACGCTCGTGTATACAAGTGATTAGATGGTGTTTCAATTCGCGTCGAGCTCCTGCTAACAGGGCTTCAATTTCAATACGTTGCCATCCAAGCACGCGTGTGAATAGTGCGTATGTGTATGACGATAACCCCTCGAGCATGTTAAGTTGATGGTATCTCCCAAGCTCTTGGAGGTTGGAGTCTGGAGACCATGGGCCTTGGGGAAGCTTGTTTGCGATCAGCGAGGTGTCTTTTGGTGTCTCGAAAACGGGTTCGCATACCTTATATACCATCTTCTTTGACATTCACAAATCCGGCTTTTATCATCCACCTTCTCCACGAGGAGACAGAAGTCATATCTTTTCCAAATATCTTCGATGATGTATGTATATTGCTGATGCTGCTCAGCAGACATGTCGCTTTGAGGTGTGTATTATCATCTGACATGGTATTGACTTCAAAAGCAGCCATCTCAAACCATCCATTTGGGTTGAGGTTGTCAAAGGCTTGGCGGAATAATTGCTTGTGGTCGCGAATGGCCCCTTCTAGCTCGCGGCCGTGAATGTAGTCGAACGGTTCATTATAGGGCCATGATAGCTCGTAGTTGTCAACTTCAAATCGACAATTTGGCGGTATCCTAAGCAAGTAAGCACCTCCAAATCCACAGGTCCAATGCTGAATCGTACCATAGTGGTTGAATAGGACTGAGATCGACCCCTGCAGTATGTAAGTGAAGGCCTAGACTGGTAACCATGGTACGACGAGAGTTTACCAATGACCTCCGATTCAGGATGTTCACATCATATTGTCAGCGAGGTGCCATAAGAAGTGGCATGCCAGGTGAACGTACTCCGAAAAATCGATTGCCCATATACCTGTGCCGGTGCCGAGATCTAGCACTCTCGCGGGAGTCTTGACCGGTGCTAGATGAAGGGCCCCATTCATAATCATCAAGTAAATGTGGTGGGTCTGCCCTTGTCAGCATTTATCGCAATACGTCTAATATTCCAGTCCAGCTAGGAACTAACTAAATCGAGACGATCTTGTTCCATTTCATCATTAGGCTTCACCTAGATTAGATCGGATTTGGTCGTAAAAGCATTCTTCGGGGGCAACAGACCAGGAGATATTCCCCCTCATGATATGAATGATACCTGCGGCCGTTCTAGACACTAAGCAAGAGTTTATGATGATTGCAAGGTCAGACTTAATACCTCGTACCTGCACAACTCGTATTGAATTAGCGCAGTGAACAAAAACTTCAAGATGGACAGGTTTCACTTACGGATAAATCAAGGCGCTTGAAGTAATGCTCGTTGTATTAGAGGTATTCTCTATGCTTGTGGGACGTTAAGAGGGATAACATAATCAATACAATAAAACTGACGAGCTAGCGTAGTCCGAATAGTGATGTGGGAGCTATACACGGGCCAATTTTTAGAGACCAGATCCAAAAAAAAAATCAATTATTTGGGACTAACATCGGGGTCGACGATGATTGAGCTCTGTGGCATGTCGAGATAGATTTTTATCGATCTGAAAATTTCGAACGGAGGATGATGAGTTGGACTTGGCTGAAATTTAAGGTAAAAAGAACTGGAAAGGAGTGCGAAAAGCAAACAAGACGCTTCATTCCATAACCGTACCTCCTGGAGTCACATGATCCCCACTTCTTCACAACAGGTTGGTAGGGACCCAGACAGTCGGGCCGCGCGCTATTTACTAAATTTCTGCGCTCTTTCCCTGTTAAATTGATAAGCCTCCCTGTTGGAATCCTTTTCGAAAGATCGGTGGATATAAGAGGACACACTTGCAAGCGTCATGAGAAACCCGACGTGCCTATAGATATGGTCATTCTATCATCAGGTATTCTTGCTCGCAAAGCGAGACAGTCGAGTTGCAATATGAGGTGGCGTAAAAAGGGGCTAAGTAGTAAGGGTGCTGTCACGGACTACCAAACAAAGCCGAGAATTTAGGAATGTTGACCAATTATACTAGAAGGTCACATGGCGGTATCGAAAGATGCACTCGAACTTAGGAGATCCGCGTTTGATAGGCTCCTTGCTCGCCGGAGAAACTGTCATGCAATGTGGTCGGTCGGTCTGATGGTTTCTCACATTCTTTCAAATGACCTATCTACCCACGTGACCCTCGCGATTTCCAAGCTGTCGACTTAAAAAGTCCGTTGAAGCTTGGCCTTACATCGACTCATTATCTTGAACTTGTAAATATCATTTAGGTTCTTTAATTATGTTTATTTCCTTTGCTTTTTAGTTATTCTAAGTTTTACGAGTACCCACAATAAAAAGGGTACAGAACAGCCACCAATTTATTTTTCAAGGTTCACTGGCAAAGTTTCCGCGAATAATTCCGCACGTTCTGGGTCAATTTCACTTGTATTTATCCAACATCTTATGCACAAAACATTTCGGACCTAGGGATAGATTCGTGGGCAGCGTCGCTCATAGCAGACCTTCCAACCGATTGACGGATTCAGCTGATAAGTATGAGGCATCGTCGATCTCGATAATGCTTGTCCCGACAGCTGACGGCTCCCTGGTGGCCACGGCGGCTACTCTAGCGAGTCGTGCTACAGTCGAATTAAAATTAGCGTTCGCAAAAGTCTCTTCTTCCGTCGTGCATGCAGCTTCTGCTCTGTCAGGCGTCGAACCTCACTGTTGGTCGTTTCCAGAAGCTTTTTGAGACTTTTCACCACACTGTTGATTTCCGAAATACATTCGCCTGTTCGCAGTGCTGCTACTGTCTCACAAAGCTCATGAGCCAGTTCCAATTGCTTGTCAGCAAGGCCAATGACGGACTTTTTCTGGGGGTTTTGGAGCCAGTGCCACTGATCATGCCGGATCCGGTTTGTATGCGGCGGACTAAGTTTGATGCAACTACTTGTGGCTGATCCGATTCTCCCAATTGCTGGTTCACCAAACAAAGAGTTTTGTCCAGTATGTTTGGAAGAAAGCGCGTCTGCATCATCGACATTTTCGCCCGTCGTATATTACTCCTGCAAATACCAATATCCCTGACGACATCTTCAAGCACCTTCTGTGTATGGCCGTCATACTCGATGATAACCTTGTGTCGCTTGTTCATTGGAGCGAAGGGCTCATTCCGGCCGATAGGCAGATCTTCGTCCGCGCGTCGCTTGCGACCAGAGCATTGAATTGAGTCCAATGAATCCTTTGCCTTCGCGATACTTTTATCGAATTTGGAGGGATTTCGTCTCTGGTCGATCCGCACGACCTCGTTGGGTTGCACGGGTCGCACGGAGTGGTTCGTAGGACATCGCAGCCTGAGAGATTTCTGTCGGCGACAGGCTTCATAGTATTCGGTATATTTGGCAGATGTGTGAGCAGCAAGGTCTGTAATACGGCTGATCAACGCTGGTAGGTTGCTTTGAAGATAAGAGAAGGCTTCCACCGTATCCATCTGGGACAAAGCCATAGCAGCACGGCCCAGTCAATGAATCAGGAGGTTCAAGGCCGTCTGTAAAGCTTCAAGCTTGAGTACGAGAGACATCGACAATGATTTAATTCTCTGCATCTTGACTCATGATTTCCACCCAGAAGAGCGAGGAAGTTGGAGGATGTGATCCATGCCCTCGCTTGCAGTAGATCAATGCTAAAGGCTGGGGGGTCAAGCCAGGGGGTTAAGGAGGATCAGGAAGGGATCGACATATTTATTTGGAATTGTGGGCACAACTGGATAACCCAATTAATTCCAATGTGTGCCTGCAAACAAAACAAACATGGCTGGAATCTTTGGTATGTAATAAACGATTGGCCCTGGAAATGTCAAAAGCGATTCTAGAAGTCTGTCCCCTGGGAATTTTAACCTAGCTCCTGGAGCTATCTGCTATTTCTGTCAGGGATCGCGGTTGCTTGGGTTTTACCACTAGGCTAACAGGCCAAAAAGCACAATGTTTGGTCAGCGACCAAACACTCAAGCTACTATATATGCTTGAACTCTTGACACGCTGCTCCTTGGCGCCTGAGCTCGTGCGATTGACATCGATAGCTGGTAATGGAAACGCTCAATAATAACACGGATCAAGCAGCGGACAGACAGACTATTTTCAAAAAAAAAAAAAAAAGCCCATAAACTTTCGCAATGCGGGCATCTTCTACGTTCCATGGTACTGAGGAGCCACTAATGCAATGACACCTTGCGGCGAACGCGCTAACGGTTAATCCTGTCGCGCGTGGCAGCTCTCACGCCAGGAGATCCCGCTCAGACCCCCTCCGGGCCCCGCAATAGCCCAACTTTTGGCGCCCGAGTCGCAAAAGCAATTCGAGGGCGCGTCTCTTTTGAGAAATACACTACTCCTAGTGGTTCCTATATTTTTTGCTCTCGTAAGAGAGTCGAGGCCTCTTTTATTTTGTTGGACTTAAAAGGGTATTAGCCCTCTGCTGGAGGGGCGCGCCGAACCGAGCTGACCTCACAGATCGACTTGAAACCCCAAAATCGAACCACGCTGTTTTGCGTTAGAACTCAGCAGCCCGTTAAATTGGATCCGAGTACTAAAGGGCTTTGTGCCGGAAAGCATTGTCACGTTGGCAATATTCATTGCCCTCATTCTTATTGCCCTCGTTCTTTTTGAGTGGTATCCCTGCCTCATAGAGTTCTGCTAGCCACGCCAACAACAACCAAATTTTGTACAATCTTCTTCCAGCGCTAGGGTAAAGGAACCGTGTATATCGGATCACCTGAGATAATTTTCTTTTAATAAGTCCCTTTTTGTAGCAGAGGCTTTTTTCATGAAACTAAAATTACGGCGCTGGCCTCTATTTCCAAAAATTTCCCACAAAGATCAAGTTTGGCGCTTATCGGATACTCAGTAATGGAGTGTGGTTTCCAATATTATCAGAAATAGCCTTGGTATCTAGAATAGATCTGCTCGCGGTTTGAAAGCAAGTGCTATGACTTTCAGCATCAAGCGCCGCCACTGCATGCTTGAACGCAGAAGATAACATCCAATAGCGACCCACCATCGCACTTCATAATGAAACGATTTCAGCCTCACAGATTTAATGCCAAGCATTGTGGTGAATTCCAAACAGGTTCTTTGGGCTCACCCAGCGACTTGACGCATTGAACCCCGAGTTAGCCCCATCAGGTAGGTGGCTGTCGCACAGCCAATTGTTATTGATTGTTTCTCTGTGTGTATATGGGCAAGGGCATATAAAGCAGCTGTCCAGTATCGATTGCCGCTTAGCTTTCAGTAAAGATACTCTTCATCGCAATGCCGACATTTAACCGATTTCCCGGTACTTCCGGTGTTGTTCGTGACGTGCGCGTTCTCCATGGAGATGAACACTATGTGATGGAAACCTATCAACTTCATGTCGATCACTGTCATGATTGCGTGTACCCTTTTCGACCATATGGGCTGTGCGAGCAAGGCATATTGTTGGCTCACGATATTTTCAAATATTTATACAAATGGAAAGGACGATTCTTCGCTGTTAACAACCGTGGTTATGACAATACCAATGAGGTCGAAATTCTGAGAAGCGCTTTTGCAGTCCGCAATCTACTTGCAGCTGTAGAGAGCAGCATGTCCCTTCCCCATCCACATACAAAAAGTCATGATACTCTGCGCCCACGGCCACGAAATCTGATAGAGATCATCGAACGAAGACCATGCAACTCCACACCAAGTCACCGGGTCACCGATTATCGCTCTTTCTGGTTAAAGAAATCCATATATCTGCATCGCAAATTGCAAAGGGAGGGTTCCGATCCGCTTTCGTTGGGCCTGAAGGCCAAGGCGAACTGTACATCCCGAAAACCTGCCGTTCGAGTTGAAATAAGAATCCTCTACTGATGGACACGCCAATACCTACAAAACGTGGAGTGATACGTGCAACCTACTGTCGACCAGCCAATTAACCAATCAATACCAAGACCTCAATTCTCTGGGTATCAAAATATGAATTGCCACTCAATATTCTCTCTTGATACTGAGTTCTAACTATGTGTGTAGGAAGCAAAATTTTTTCCCCGATCAGCCACTGGTGTTGTCCGTCAATACCTTGGGAGTAGATGCTAGATCGTGAACTGCTTCTCGGGCGTATTGCCTGAATCAAGTGTTGTTTGTTGCTCTTCCCCCAGGCAAATCTTTTAGAGCCAGATCATGAGCTAGTTATCAATCAATACATTCAAAAGACCTGATAAAGACATATTCATCTTGATCGATTATGACAAAATTTTGTGAAGTGATATCCTCGTAAGTGGGTTTCTAGTTTGCTTATATTCGCAGCAGGCATATGCTTCGCACTTCCTTCCCAAAGCAAATCTGAACCGAGCGCTGATTAGCGGTGGAAATTTGATTATATGATGTTTGAGCTAGTCCAAGAGCCCAGTAGCTGGACGGCTCCTGATGGTGTTTTTGCAGACATCAAATCTATCTTTGTAGTGAATATGCTCGAAGATTGGCATGCAACGTGTCATCGAGAGCGCGGCGAGTTTGGTAAACATAATATTGATGCTTAAAGAATACTTGACATATGAGACAGGGAGAATCTGTGACAAGAGCTGCTTATGTTAGAAGGCAGTTTCAATGGGGAAAGGATACTCACAGTCAGCTTGACTAGCTTGTAGCTGCAGTGCCATCTAGAGTAATGTGGATTTTCACATTTTGCTTGGCTAGGATAGAAAGATGGGCTTTTAGGAATCAAATCTGCCTAGCATCACTTCAACAAGAGGCATCACAACAATCCTGATAGCCCTCCTGATGCAGCTTCGTGTGTGTCCGATCATTTCGTTTCGGCTCGCTCGAATACGCCGCATAGCTCAGCAACACGGAATCGGATCAAGTGGACTTGCACCTGTCGGTGATTCTTGGGTCGTGAGCTTTCTTGCAAGTTTGGCTGTGCCTCGGAATAAGACGGTCTCGTCCTCTCGATTTGTCGCTGATGACCACGTTAACTTGATGGGCTAGAATTGGCGAGTCTTTTGCCTCTCCCTCTCCTTGCACGCGAACGTGGACTAACAGCCGGGCCGTCTGCGAAGGTGCGGCTTACCTGCCATGAAGCAAGACAGGAAAATCAGCGCGTCTCCCTGTCTTTCGGATTCCCAGGCTTGAAAGACGCCAGATGCCATCCGAGGACAATGAGGATCACCTGTTGGGCCCCAGTAACCCAAGCCCGAGGAGGCTCTCCCTTTCGTGGAGTTCGCAGTGTTCGAATGTCAAGAGAAGACATACAGTGGTATATGTTCAGTGGAAACGGGGCTGGTATCACGGAGACACATCAACGCATAATCTGATGCACAGAACCGAAGGGAAAAGGGCAGAGGTAGACGATATGAACCTTTCGGTGACTCATCAGCGATTTTATCAGTAGTCATGTGTGGCTAGCTCGATCTTGAAAGGGCCGGGCATCATGCTTGTAAGTTATCAGTGATTAACTACCCACGCGCACTCGATACAAACGGAAGAAACGTTGATTCGACGCTATCTTTACCCTAGAAAGTCATTCCTGAGGAGGATGTTTCTCACGGTGAGCCATGTTTCCGGGTTCTGCATAGTAGACGCAGCTCGCTTGAACTGTCAACGAATAGCGTGCCGAACACGTCAGTGATGCAAACAGCCCTGGTTCATGCATGCTAATCATTGGGTGTAAATCGTCAGATATTATCAGGCAATGCAATCAAAGGCGATCTTGCTGCCCAATTCTCTTCCCCTCTCCAAAATGGCAAATGTCCCGCCATGTGACGACTGCCAGTCCCTTCGATCTTGAATTTTATATACAAAGCTTTTAGGGTATCCAGACACCGACTTTGGTTTATCTCGCTTTATTGCCATATTTTGAATGTCGAAAACATGCCATTCCAAGGTCGGAAGAAAACAAAACCTATGAAGCCATGGACATTGTTTCCAGCGTTTTATGAGAATGTGGTGCATATGCTGCAAGATGACAACTACCTACGATACACATGTTATGGGACGGTTCATATGCCACAATCGAGAGTGCAATTCAGACGGGTGGCCGAGCAAGAAAATCGCGATCACCATACGAATGTACCCTGAGGGTGAATACAATGCCAGGGTATATCACCAGCGATGCAAGAGCTGTAATCAATTAAGCCGGCCTATTCTCAATGAGTCATACGCTGATCGAGTTGTTTATCGCATTAAAAAGTGGCATGGCATTGAACTCGAACTACCATTACACTCAGGAAAGAAAGGACCCCCACATAATAGCAGTTTATGCGAGGGCTGCAAAGATTTGCCTCGGCTATCAGCTTTGTTTGGTGGGTGACCTTGTGTAATCATGGCGGAAGAGAGTGTGATGTTGATACTCTGACCACAGAGCTTTGACTGTTCCCATTTCTACAGCAATATTCGAAATTGGCTTCCACGTTTCACACAGAGAAACTATCTCAAGCCCCACCGCCAAGACGACAGTGAATCTCACTAGGCCCGTTTCGGCTAGGTCACAGATCAGCTCTGCTCTTCAGAAAGCAGATACGCTGAGATCGTTGAATCATTGTATATACCACATCCTCCTGCCCTCAAACCAATGCGGCTTACGGAGTCAGATGCGGTCTGTTCGAGCACTTCTATCGCCCATACACTACGACCATTCCATTCGCCGTTCGTCTCGAAAGACAAAAGGTGCACGACCCGTCTCGCAAATTTATGACGATTACCAGTGGCCTGAGTTCGATACTCCATGAGTACAAGCTCGGTCCGTCGAAGAGATGGCGATTCAAGGCAGACTCGGGGTTGTCTACTGTGCATAGCGATGACGAGGTTGCGACCATAGAACCATAACATCAAATAATATCATGAGTTTCAGATACTTCCAAATCCTTAACATTACAGGTCCGGGTCATCCTCATCAGGCAAAGGCATAGCATGGTCGACAGGTCCTACTTCTCTAGCGTAGTCACTCAACTGTTCCGCCAAAGTCCAGCTCTTGACTTCCTTCGGCTCTCTCATGCAGCGCACCAGATCAATATCAAAGTCATCCATAGCAAGCTTCAGCCTCCGCACAAGCTCCCATGTCCACGTATCTTTCGACCATTCCTTCCAGAGATGATTTTTCATTTAACTTGTATACCACATATCAAGAACCACATCCGCACCCTGCATTGCATGCCTAAGTAGCCCATCGATCCTGTCCGAATTAAAAGACGGACATGGATCTGAGCGAAGGCTAGCAAAGCTACTGCTTAAAGTCTTACTTTGCGACCATAAGACTCTGAAATAGAAGTATTCCGGCGCAACCTCCGAAGTATTCACGACCAGATCGTACAGTATGTTCATTTGTAACCCGCCAAGTGCCTGTAGTGGAATTTCCCAGCGATGCAGGTCTATCACGTTGGATGGCGACACGCTACGCTCCACCCATCCCAGCGCCATGATAGGTGGTTGCTGGACAAGCATTCGGCGCCAGCTCGCCTCCGGCCGCCGATATATGTCGCTGCTCTCTAGGAAATCCTGCATGTCGCCGGCGCCAAAGGCGATGGCACATGACTTAGTGTCATCGGCGGGAAACCAGTATGGAAATTTGGATGCTAGCAGGGGTTTTGTTGGCGTGGCCTGTTGGCTGGTGCTGGTTGGAAGAATAGAATTTGTTGCATTGGGGAAGATCCTCGGATGCATAGGGCCCATTGTCGGCAGACTCGTTGGGCGAGGAGGACGGTTTGCATGTCTACTTGCCTGAGAATCGCTTCGATAAGCTCGTTCGGTAATGATCGGCGGTCCATGATTTGGTTTTAACAAGCTGAGATGCGTTCCCCCTTTTGGAAGTACTGTATTCACAAAATAGGGACTGTGGATGGCAATCAACGACGCGTGATGGAGGCACTGGGCAGGGTTCTGGTCGATCTAAGAGAACATGCGGCTGTTAATCGATCAAACTTGGCCCTATCTTCAAACGCTTTCGGGATCCTACCGCTGAAGAATTTTATTACTCAAATGTTGACCCCTACCTGGGCGCCCGAGTTTCAATCCCCAAGTCTTATAGACTCCAGAGTCAAAACACAACACCCAGTCATTCCAGTCATTATTTGGACGAACGAGAAATGAGGACCCTTCATCAAGAGGAGCAGAGCTGATCTGTGGCCTAGCCCAAACGGGCCTAGTGAGGGGTACAAGTATCTTGGCGGTGGGGCGAGAGACAATTTCTCTGTGTAAAACATGGAAGCCAATTTCGAATATTGCTGTAAACAAGCTCCTCGGTCTTCGAATATATAAAAGGGGCTTTGTTGACCGGGATTTTCGAGGAGGAGAGATCAACACCAGGAACATGCTTCCTGCTGCGTTCAGCATCTTTTCAGTGGTCATTGGAAGTCAAAATACGTACCCATTCGTACGCCGCCAATGCGGCAAAAACAGAAGTTCTACTACTTGTAACATCAAGTGCAGTATCAAACAGTTCTTCCCAGAAAGGTCTTCTGGTAGCAATCCACAGATACTGGTCTCTGTCGACGTGAATGTGCAGAATCAGGTACAGAGTTGGTCGTCTTTCGGGGTGAGATCCGTGTATAAAACTTTATCGGAGAGTCTTCCCGTGAGTGAGCTTCTAACGACCGAGAATAAAATAAATGCTCTTCACAGAGGACCAGGCGAGCTCAAGTGTTTCCCCATCACAACTTGAATGTGCCCACACTGAACAGGGCTTCCATTGTGAAAAGGTATATCCTGGTAAAAGTATCAAGCCACAAATGTTGGTTAAACTGTTTGAGACTACGTTGGCATCATGCCAGGCAACAATTGTCACTCAACGTTGTATGTGAGCTGTTGGAATATAAATCCATCACACGGCGAGAGACAAAAAGTTCAGGGTGGACAGGATTGAAGGTCTAGGTTGATGCAGCTGATGGACACACAGAGAGACTATTTGATCTGTGAGAAGCTTAGGACAAGAAGAAAGTTATGCGATGAGAATGTTCGTAGAAATTCCAATCAACTTGGCTGAATATAATTATTATACCGGTCAATTGTGACTATGGCTGGAACGTAAACTTACAGGACTAGACTGCTTCAGTGAGATACTTCCACAATCAACTTGAGATTGGATTTGCTAGGAATTATTACTTTCCTGCGGGTAAAATTGGATGTTTTGACCGGACGGAAGTTGTAGATGTTGGGCACTACCATACGCCGGGGGGAATCAGACGCGTGCAATCAACAAGAAGAAACCTGCCCAGATCGCAATTTGGAGATATGATGCAGAAAGCCTATCGATTGAGATATGTATTCTCTCCAGCGCATGGCGACAGGGCCAACTATGGTTGGGAGAAATATTCAAATAACGAGGCATCTTGGTAAAAAGCGATGACACTGCTTAGCAAGCGCCAATATAGAGACAGCTTACTGGCAAACTGGGGTTATGCACAGCACCAGGACTAAGTACAAATCAAGTCTCCTCAACAGTATCACTTATATGTGGTTTTTCCTGCTCCCAGAACCGCCATATGTCCAAATATTGTACCACAGGACTTTCATTCTGGTGGATGACGCGTTTGGTAACTATGTGTATCGGTATTTTCTGGCCAATCTGGAGATGTCAGCTCATTCACTCAAAATGATCTCCCCAAGCGACTTACGAAAACAGAAGAGTCATTGGAATGCACGTAGCAATGCTGGCTGTAGTTGGAAGACGCAGAGGATCTGTTTGAATAGGCGTATTGCTCTCCGTCAGATACCACGAATGCGCTGTCTTCACTTGTCTCCGAAATGTCATCCTCTGAGTGCTCAGAGTTTGACTCTTGTGCTTCGGAGTCATTGAGCTCACTGTACGACGACATGACTTCGGCAAGCTCATCCCCTCTGGTTGCCATCTTAGGCAGGGACACTTGGTGCCAGAAGGATCAACAACAAAGTATGGACAAAATGGTGTGTTTCACTTTTACTGTCTGGCGTGACGCCCACTTATATAGCCAAAAGATCTATTTGATTACTGTATGGTCCTGACCATTTCTAGCCAGTGTTTCAACGGGCGCAGTACTTTTTGAATGGCCGATGAAAGCTTTAAAGATGTGCGGGAATAATTCAGCCAGGCTTATGGTTTAGACCCAGTAGTCAGTTGATTCACTAGATTCCTAGTGAGGAAGACCCCGTGAGAGGCAGACGTGTTGACCAGATTAGGCGTTGAGAATCGTTGATCGCTTGACTTCCCTGCGTATCATGTATGTTCCTGGCCATATCGATTGTTGCTTACGGCAAACCTGCCTATTGATTGGACGCTTCTGGCGGTTACGCAGTTCACTTATCTAACCCGGGTCTGACCGCTGGACTCCCGGCAAATGTACTCGATCCCGTAAATACGTCTAAAGCCACCAGCGCCTCTTACCTCTTCCAGCTCGACATGATAAACAGGCTCGATAGGGCGCGAGCTACGCAAAGCATCGTGTGTCAATAGCCCAACAGAAGACTCCACCCAAGAACGAAATATGACAACCATTTTAGGAACAACTCTTTCTTGGCAAAAACGTTTTCTTGAAATATCTAGCCAATCAGAGGTCTCACGGCCTCGTGAATTAGTTCATCGTAATCGTAACCTCAAGCGCTACAGCCTGATACCCTTTTCATAGGGGAGATGGCAGCCATGGTTGGGACGGGTGCGAACGCACAGATTTTGCCCCCTGACAGGAGAGGAACGCCAAAAACCACGGCCCTCGCGGATCCGCCCCGATCCATGGACGACATCGCGGAAGGGGCCCGCCGGGTGCTTAACCACATCGAGAACAATGGCACAGAGGACCGGTACGTCACTGGATATATTCGTGCCGTCCGCCAGTACGCACTAAACGCCCAACGGGGAGACGGCCAGGGGATGGCCAAGGTGCTTGAGGCGCTGACCAAGATCAACGCCGGCACCGAACGCCTGAACCAGCGAATTAATACCATTGAAAAGACAACGAACACATTATCGACGGCACTATCTACCCCCGCGGCGAACTCTGCAGCAGCGTGGCGCAACTTCCGGGCCAAAGAATGGCAGCGCGACTTGGCTACGGCTGCGGCTCCTATCACCCGGAGCGGCGGCACATCGTCTCCAGGAGTACCGGAAATGGAACTTCGCGAGGACCGAGAGGTCATCGTCAAGGTCGGAATGAACCGCGAGCAAATCCGTGGATTGACACCAAAAGATCTGGTCGAGAGGGCTGAACGACAGAGGGTATCAAATGCCCGTCAGAAGAATTCAGGGGTACTGGCCGGACAGGCTTTCTTTGTCGCTGCTCGAAAATTGCCGTCGGGGGATGTGGCAATGATCGCCAACAGTGCGGCAGGGGCAGAGGTCCTCCGCAAACATGCTGCGTGGCTGAGAGCCTTTGGACCAGGCTCGGTGGTCCAAGAACCGTCATGGGGAGTGGTGGCGTACCATATTCCCGTGAGGTCGATGAAGGTTACTCCGGAGACGATGGCTGACGTTGCGGCCGAGCTGCTCGCGCAGAACAACTGGGGCGAAGGCGCTAAGATCCAGTATCTAGGGTGGCTAACCCGTCCGGGGGAGAGGGCGGAGGGCTCCATCCTGATCGAGTTCACCAGCCCAGTCGTGGCTAATCGCGCGATCATCTCGGGAGTCGTGTGGGGGAAGCAAATTCACAATGCATCGCGATTCTGTCGCGAGGGGCGGATAAAGCTATGCAGAAAATGCCAAAAACCGGGGCATATCCAGTCACACTGTTCCAACTTATTCAAATGCGGTCACTGCGCCAACGGACACCCGACCTGGGAGTGTCCGTCGACGAAGGGGCAAGCGATACCAGTCAAGTGCGCCAACTGTGGTGAAGGGCATCGCCCTACAAGTCGGGAATGTCCGGTGAAGGTTGCAGCGATGAACGAAGCCAAGCAAGCGCTGGCCAACTGCCCTGCATATCACCGCGTTCCTCTGCACCTCCGAGTGACGGCAAGCACCGGCAAAGAAGCAACTTCGACCAGCGCAGACCCCATGGCCACGAATGGACTCGAAGCGTCGATACACGCCCCGGAGGAGCAACGGGGGAAGAGCCCCGGCGGAACCCCCAGGATGCTGTAATCGACGTGGAGGCTGCAGCAATAGAAGTAGAAACATTACCAGAGGAGGTCACTGAACCGACTCAGCCTACTCAGCTCAAAAGAGGCCCTGGCCGCACAGGCGAGCCGGACGACACCATGGACGAGCAACCAGACGACAATGAATGGCTCAGCATTCAACCCACTCCGGCCAGTCTCCCTCAACCTGACACTCAGCAAGATAGCCTAGAACACCGACTTACCCAATTCATCAACGAGGTCGCCACTGTCAATGAGGCCGGTAACACGTCCGGGCCTGATGACGAGGGGGAATTGGACCCCGAGAGCCCCGAATGCCGCAAATTGGTGATTCTGAAATACACGCAGCGGCAAGCGATACCGATTGGATCATCTCCGCCGCTTTTTCCGACGGATGCACCAACAATCGAAGACCCAAATGATGAAGTATGGCACGAGGCCAGCGAACGAAGCGATGACGAACAAACTCATCAATGAAATCGTTTGAGATTCTTCAATACAACGTACACAAATCGTGGCCAGTGATGGCAACGTTCCTCAGAGACAGAAATGTCCTCGCGGCGGACGTCGTCGCGGTGCAGGAGCCATGGAAGAACGAAATGCAACACACAACGCACCAACCAGCGACG